CAACTAAAAAGGAAAGTCCTTTTATATGCAGAGCAAGATCTTTCCTTAAAGAGAGTATATTTCAATGACTCTATTTCCTAACAAACTTTAAGCACAAAAAGTGCTTAAAAAGTTTAAAAGTGTTGACTAGCATTCTAAAGCATATGTAAAGTTCCTGAATGTAATTTTAAATTTAAACTGTAATGCTATATTACACTGAGTTAATATATTTTAAATTTTCAAAACTGCGACTTCATTGTTACAAATGTGTAATTGCAAATATATTTAAATACATGACATAGAAGTTGACAATAGAAATTGCATCAAAGTATATACTGGTATACAGTACATTTGACAATACAATTTAACAATATTTCAAAGATAATCAAAGTAATTATTAAAAAATATATGAAGATGAGCTTAAGTATGGTGATGCATTGCTACCACTTTTTTAACAGTTTACTGCAGTTTCTTATATTCTTCTATTTATTTAACTTTTGTGGCTGAGGGATTGGAAGTCTCATACATTCACATAAAATAGCTTAACTTCAACATTGCACAATAATGTACATATCCGCAGTGACATATGCGCAATGACAGTTCATCAAAATGGAGCGATATTTATATCAAAAGACTGCAGATTTCTGACACGTCTCAATACAGCTTAGAAGATAACAACAGACATATTGTCCACTTGTAATCTGTTATTGGTGTGTAGCCCTGATCTTTTTTCAATTCACTCACACTATAACATCAAAATCTAGTCTAGTGGTGATAAAAAAGTCAAAAGTTTGTTTCTGATGTAAAAACAACAGACATCTTTGACTGTTGAGCAGACTGCTTTTTAGATGCTTATGCTGCATTTTTTAATGTTTTTAATTTTTTATGTTAAAAAAAGTTTAACTTTTCAGAAACAGACATATTGTCCACTTGTAATCTGTTATTGGTGTGTAGCCCTGATCTTTTTTCAATTCACTCACACTATAACATCAAAATCTAGTCTAGTGGTGATAAAAAAAGTCAAAAGTTTGTTTCTGATGTAAAAACAACAGACATCTTTGACTGTTGAGCAGACTGCTTTTTAGATGCTTATGCTGCATTTTTTAATGTTTTTAATTTTTTATGTTAAAAAAAGTTTAACTTTTCAGAAACATCTCAAAACTCTGGGGGAGTGTCAGTCGGCAAGATTCATTAAACCATTATTGATTCAAAGAGCTGATAAGGTAATAATGAAGAGGTGAAACTGTTAATAACATGTTTAATAACTGCACACTTTACAATGTGACCATGCAAATACATTTTAAAGGAAAACTAAATAAACAAAATGCAGTAAATACAGGATATTTAAATTACTAATGCATTTAACTTCTGATGTGGCACGTCTTTTTAGAAGACGAGCTGCATCTAAACAATGATTAATTGAAATCTTGTTGTTGTTGTTGTCAGTATTATTGTTCAAATTGCTTTTCTTCTTCTTCTTCTTCTTCTTATTTATGCTCTCAAACTACACCAGATTGGTGCATTTAACTTTAAAGCATGCACCGAACCTCCCTAGATACAGTATGTCCAAAGTCCAAACACCATAGTCTCACAACACCGTGTGGGTAACATGCGTATCCAGAAAAAGCTGCTATACAGTTTGACATCAACAGAGTAGCTGGGCTCAGAAGAATGTACAGCATACCCTGCATTTGTGAAACATTAAGCATTGCATTTGACCAAGTTTTAAAGCAAGGGAAGTCTAAATATTTATTAATTTATTTATTTTGTTTGTTTGTTTGTTTGTTTGCTTGCTTGCTTATTTATTTATTCATTCATTTTATTAAAAAAATTTCCATGGATCATACCTAGTAATAAATATTGTTGTTTAGTGCTTGGGAGACTATTCATTATATCAGAAGACCTCAAAATTACAAAATTGAAGGCTATGATCAGGCTTAACATCATTTTGGGAAAAGAGGGGGGAAAAGAAAGCTACTCCAAAAACTGATGTATTTTGAGCAACAAATAAACTTTCCATGCTTTCTACTATTTTGCACATCATGGCTGATAAAACTAGATTAATTAATGCCTGTCCCTGAAAACTCCCCACATGCCTTTGAACAAGGAATAGCAGCAGTCATTGTCATTAACTTTGATGGCACAGCTGTGACAAAACTAATGATTCTTTCACAGGCTTGGGAAGCAGTGGAAGTGCCTGCAGCATCACTAATTCTTCTGAAAAAGCATGTCCTCTAAAATGTTGAACATAATGAGAATACAGAAAGTAACCTTTGAATTGAAGTTTACAGACAGAAAGAGGAGACTGTCGGGGTAAAGTTGCTCATTCACACAAGTAGGCCTACATCAGCAGTGAGGTAATGGAGGTGAGCAGGCCACGAGACTGCATTTTCCTGTATTATTTAATTCCATGCCATGTGCAAGGATCTGTGTATATTATACTGTAGGTCTATATATAATGTGTTAATTTCTAATGTGCAATTAATTTAGCAATTGCTGCAATCTCATGTGAGTGACAGCTGTTGCTGGGGAGAGGAGGCATTATTCGCTTGTTAAGTCTGACGTCACACGTCACTTTTTCTGGGTCCAAACCACTGATCTATAATAGAGAATATTATATATAGATCAGTGGTCCAAACGCTTTATGAGATGTCAAAAGAAGAAAAAAAAACGTGCTAATTAATAGCTGTTACTTTAAATATGTAAAAAAAAAAATTTATTAAAAAAAATAGTTAAATCACGTTGATTATATATCATTTGTCATAGCTTGTGGAATTTAAAAGACACCATTAACGTTATGTTAGCAACACCTGTTACATTGTAACTCGTGGGAATAGCGGCCTTCTAGAGGTCCTAGTTCTCGCCTAGTGGGGGGAGTAGGTGAAATACACGAACCAGTGCATGATAGTTAACAAAAATAACGGTTTGTTGAGTTAAAAGATTTTTTGCTTATCCATCAGCAGCATTACAAACACTTTGGAACTTAAAATAGTTGTAGCTACAACACCAGGACGTCTATGAGCAATGTAGGTTAGCGTGGGGACGGTTGCAACAAGGCTTATTTCTTCAATCAGGAATGAGCCACAGTGATGATATTCATACTACACATGCTCAATCAGCCCCTCATTCTTCCTGGATGAAATCAGGCACATGTGACCATTCCTTCTACAAATAATAATTTTCATGGTAAAAAAAGTATTTTTTTTAATCATCAGATTTTTTGTCATACTGTCTAAGTTGCTTGCGTGAAGCATTGTAAAAACATATGATTTATATCTTGATTTATATATTGTGTCAAGCTACTATACCAAGTTTTGTCATGGCTGTCAGTGTGGCGACAGTTGTAACACGTTGTTGCAACCGTCCCAACATGCTGTCCCTTACCACAACATTGATGTAAAAGCTTGCCATAACATTACATAATTGTAATTTTATGGATTAATAAAGAACCCCTTTCAATAGTTAGGTATTTCTCCTTTTTTATTTAAATAAAAGTGGACTCATTTCAAAAGTGGACTAAAGTCAGTTCCATAAAATGGTAGATTTGTCTAATTAGAATTTTAAAAAAGTAAGACTGATTACCACTGTTAAATATTCTTTGGTTTTTATACAGTCAATTTAACTTATTAAAGACCATGTCTATGCACAAATAAAATAAAGAAATTGCAAAATTATATTTTAGAATTGTTTTAATTACATTTTAATGAATGTTGCAACCGTCCCCTGTTGTGGGGTCAGTTGCAACATTTGACTTTGTCTATTCAAGTATAAATTGTATGTATATAATCATATGTGCACGTGTTACAGCAATGTGGGTGAGTAGCTGACTGATGTGGCTTTATTGTATTATAAGTCTAGCTTTCTAATGCAAACAGTCTCTGAGAAACTAAAGCAAATACAAAAAGTGTTGCAACCGTCCCCACTCTCCCCCTACCTGTATGTAATTAAAAAAAGAAAAAAAAGAAAGTATATTCTATTTATAAAAATAGATCAAATCAAGTTTGCAGTGCATTTAACGATTAACCTAACCCTGAATGTATAAATCTCCATATAGCCTAAAAGTTAAAAATGTCATAACGTAAACATCAGAATCCTATAAAGTTAATTGTCTTATGTTTTATGCGCAATTCTCACATTTGAATATTAAATTGTGGCTCCCTCTCACACTACAGGTTATAAACTATATTTTAAATTAGATTCAGACTGAAAAGTCAGCCTACTGACAGACTATAGCAAACGCGTAGAACCTCTATGGAAACCGGTGAAAGACGGCTAAGAATAACCATATGACTACAGACGAACAATAGGCCTTTCTTTACGCAACACAACTGTCTGTGATCCAAAAAAAGTTTATACTTTTATTTAATTATGTGATGTAAAATAGTCTTCGAGGATTGTATTTCACTTGTAAATATCATGATGTAATTTTCAGAGAAATAATGAATCGCGCTTCCTTCCTACCCTACTACCTGAAGTCTAACAGGCATTGTGACGAATTAAAAAAAGAATCTATATATATATATATATATAGAATCTTTTTTTAATTCGTCACAATGCCTGTTAGACTTCAGGTAGTAGGGTAGGAAGGAAGCGCGATTCATTATTTCTCTGAAAATTACATCATGATATTTACAAGTGAAATACAATCCTCGAAGACTATTTTACATCACATAATTAAATAAAAGTATAAACTTTTTTTGGATCACAGACAGTTATATACACTCACACACATACATAATCAATCGAAATTCAATATTCTCGTAATTTCACCGAAATCATCTTGCTGGGTAATATGTCTCTCATTTAATCAGACAAAAAATATACAATATACACGCCATCGCTTAAACACTTTTTGTGTGCGTGCCATATGCAAGTTTGATGTGGCTTCAACAAACGCAAATTCAACGTCCATCTATATTCAAGGTCTAAAGGACTTTTGTAGTCATACCCAAGAAAAGTGGTATTCCTATAGGAGATTAATGACCATGACACCTAGCTTATAAAACAGACTTTCAACTTACCGTGAGCTGCGGCAACAAAACCTGCGAAAAGCAGCAGGATCTGCTTCAATGTGCCCATCGTGTCCGCTGTAATTCCACGCAGCGCCACGGTGTCTTGCGTTTTATTTTCTCCGATCACAGTAATGCATAGAGATCCAGCTTTGGCAAGAACATCTGACGCCTATGGCACACGGATTCGTCTATATTAGCTCTCATATCACCGAGAATAGCCACTGCAGAGACGAGACACGGTGGTGTTGGGACCAAAAGTGATTCCCTCGGTCCAAACCGTGGAGACAGAATGGAGCGATGAGGCAGTCCGCATCTAGAGGAAGGCGCTGGACTCAACCATCATGTGAGATACAGGGGAATATGGATGGAGATCTAGAGTCTGCAGACTCTTATGGGTCCACATAAAAATATCAACTCATAAAGTCGCTTTTAAGGGAGCCATATAATTTAACAGGAACAATCCGAAAAAGCCTGCAACCTCCCCAGTAAGGAAAAATATATATATAATAATAATAATAAATAAATGCAGTATGGGGTTACTAATAGAATTTCGCTCATATTTGGGTCTGATCCTAACGAAATCAAATGAATCCAACATATGTTTAATATAAAACACTCTTATAGAAAGCAATGTAGAACATCCAATACAAATGTATGTAAAGAAATTATTTTAGGATTTTAAAACTTGTAAAACACCTGAATGAATGAATGAAAGAATGAATGAATGAATGAATGAATGGATGGATGAATGAATGGATGAATGGATGAATCGATTAAAAAACTATTAAAAACCTGAATACTTGTCCAATAATAATCTAAATGGATGAAAGAGAGAGGTTCTGGATATCCAAAGGTGTATATTTCCATATTTGAAAGAGTTGTGATACATATTTCACCATATCCAAAATAACTCACGAATCAAATAAGCATGTAGTTCGAATTTTCAATTAATCTTGAAAATTTCTACTTTTAAATTACGACGAATTCTAGTAAGAGTCATGTACGCATAATGTAATGTAAAATCAACATAGTTAATACGAAGTAACAGTTTTAATGTTAGGATGAGCATGACATTTGGCGATATGTCTGGGCGTGTCTGGATGAATGTGTTTTGATGACAACTTTGTTTACGCAACCTCATGACAGGAATATTTATATAAAACGCAGCTCATCATTTTTAATGCACCCCCCGCATCCGATCCAATATAACGCACACGTTCAAACTCACACACCCTCTGGAAAAGAGTGCAGCACACTTCATCAGCAGACAGCACATGTCTCACAGTTCCCTATTATACTAATAATGGCTGCAAAATGCGTTGGTCTGATGGCATTTCTTTGAGTTTGAGAGCGAGGCTTATTCTCGTGTCGATTTAAAATGTGGCTTTGCTGCCATCTACTGAGCCTGGACAGTCAGATTAATAAACTGAACATGATTTGTATAGCGGAAGACGCAAGTGCGAGACCATTAAATACCGTCATTTTGCATTGTTTTCCACTTAAATTTAATACGAAAAATTCATATTCTATTAAACTGTTAATGAATTTCAGAATGTCTTAGTATTTGGTATGCCGTCTTTGTTGTATAAGTCCTGATCGAATGCTTTCCGGTATGATTTGAAAATGTTTGAGAACATCTTGTGCGTCAATAAAAGCAAAAAAAAAAAGGTTCTGTACAGAGTACGGGTTCACATGATCAGTGTCACACATGTAATAAAATTATTAAATTACATGTGTGTAATACTTTTTTTTATCATTTGTGCTCTTTCTTATTCCAAATTCGATGCTTGAGTGCTTTAATTTCGTCTACACATTGACTGCATTGATATCGGTGGCGCTGTCCACGATGTGGTGCTGAAACAGTGCTGTCATTGACTCCAGCAAAGGAAAATAATAATGTTCCCTCCCCAGTGCGTTCTGTGAAGGACACATTTAGCACCACCTGTTCCAGATCTTTTTTCCATAGCAGAAGCCTGAGATTCTGCTTTAAAATTGATCAAATCAGAAAGAACAAACAACACTTCTGCCTTTGGCTTGTTTTGAACAAAGCACATGCTTTAATCTAATTATATTCAGATTTGTCAATGGAAGATGTCTTGCATGCTAAATTACTGTTACGTAAAAGTATCTGCCAGTGGGGTAAGTAAAATATTCTTAAAACAAGAGCATATTACTTACCCCACTGGCAGATAATTTTACTTGTTTTAAGCAAAATGCACTTAATTTAGTTTTTTGCCCTGGAAACAAGTAAAGGGCCTGATTTTCTTGATGTTGAATAAAGCAAATCTGCAGGACCAGGTAGTTTTAGCAATGTGGTCTGAGAAAGTCAGCTGATCATCAATCACAACTCCAAGGTTTCTGGCTGTTTTTGAAGGAGTTATGGTTGATGTGCCTAACTGGTTGGTGAAATTGTGATGAAATTATGGGTTTGATGGAACCACAAGCAGTTGTGTCTTGGCGAGTTTGAGTTGAAGGTGATGGTCCTTCATCCAGAAAGAAATATCTGTTAGACAAGCTGAGATGTGAGCAGCTATCATCGGATCATCAGGATGGAATGAGAGGAAGAGTTGAGTGTCATCAGCATAGCAGTGATTTGAAAAGCCATGTTTCTGAATGGCAGAACCTAGTGATGCCGTGTAGTCAGAGAAGATAAGTGGTCCAAGAACTGAGCCCTGAGGCAGCCCAGCCCTGGAACACCTCACCTCTCCAAGATACCTTGAAGGACCTATCTGAGAGGTAAGACTCAAACCACTGAAGTGCGGTTACGGAGATGCCCTTTGCCAGTAGGGTTGACAGTAGGATCTGGTGGTTAACTGTGTCAAAAGCAGTGGACAGATTCAGCAAGATAAGCATTGAAGATTTGGAATCTGCTCTTGCCAGTCTTGGGGCTTCAACAACTGAGAGCATATGTTCCATAGAATAATGTTCCATAGCTGTTCCTCACTCAGCATTGTCAATGAACTGAAACTAGGAATCTATATAGAAAATGGCTCAAGCAGCATACAAGTTGTCTCGCCCACTTACTAGCGTACTGTTCCTCAGAAACAATACCTTTAGAGCGTGGCTCTAAAGGTATTATCTTAAATTCTCTACCACGTTTTTGATTATTAAAAAAAACACATAAACACACTGTTTGGCACATGTTTATTGTAGCCTTTTCTGTCAGCAATGAGGGATTCCCTTGTGATAAATGCAGGGAAATAATCAGGTTGACAGACAATTCAATTAGTATAGCACTTTTCACGATACAAATCATTGCAAAGCGATTTTTATTATTTATTCTGTAATTTTTTTACAGAAAATTAAGTTTCTACAATATACTGTATTTAGTAGTAGCTTATCAGCAGTGGTGTAATGTAACGAAGTAATAATACTTTGTTACAGTACTTAAGTATTTTTTGGGAGTATCTGTACTTTACTTGAGTTTTTATATTTCAGGCAACTTTTACTTTTACTCCACTACATTTCCTAATTAAAATTTATACTTTTACTCCGATACATTTCCCAAAAGCATGTTCGTTACTTACTACAAAATAGTCAGAAGAACACAGACTGCAGGGAAGCAGGCTTGACGAATCAGTGGTCTGGCGTTTGCAAGTTAGACTCCTAAAAACACCTTTGCTCATGTGCAAACAACTGCGCGCACAACCGCGGATGATTCATTTTCCACTCAAGTCGAGTCTTGGTGTGTGCGATATACAGTATATCTTCTGCGATAATATGGTAAGTGTTGTTTTAATGATGTGCGATCTGACATTATCAAGTATATCACCAAATTACACACAGAGAGTGCATTCACGTGATTTATTAATCTATTAAAATTCAAAAATCCAAGCATTTTACATTGTAGATGGCAAAAATGCTTCTGTATGCTTTTTATATTTATATAATTTAATATAGTTAACTTAATCTATATCACACAAAGAGTACAGTTTTTCTGCAGATATCAGCATAACCAATTTAATAATTATTTTACACAAGTTCAGTAAAGTTAGCAATAAGTGACTTACATTTTAGACATATTGCTTGTATTTGCTCAATTTTGCAAACGAAAATAGTTCCAAGCAAAGGTCACACAGCACTGAGCAATGGTGTTTACTTATTGAATGAATCAGCTTTTTGAACGAATCGGTTGAAGTGATTCTCTCATTAACACAGTCAAATGCTTTGTTCCTGAATGAATCAGCCGTTTGAACAAATCTGTTGAAGCTCAATGACTCACTCATTAACAGGCACTTGCTGTCACCTACTGGTGGTTTTAATTTCCCATTTCGACTATTTTGTTCATGTTTTTAAATCATTTCAAATATCAGTATTCAACGTTTTATGTTAAAAACAAAACATTATTTATCCATCTGTAACTGCAGGTTTAATGCATCCATGTCCCCTCTGAGATAAATCGAACTGTGTAAATACATCTAAATGCTATTTCAGATGCAGATTCCAGAAATGTTTTCTTATGTTGGAATGAAAGACACTAAGTACCGGATGAAGTGCTTCTTATTCTTACCCAAAAATACAAAATGGAAGAAAGAGTTAAAACTGAACGCAATCTTGCTACTCAAGCTGTGTATGAACATTATATATATATAATGTAGCCTTGGGGACTAGGACCATGACTCGGTCTCCGGGCTGGAACTCCCGTGGTTGGGCTGCCCAGTTGTAGTGGTGCTGTTGAGCGTGCTGCGCTTTACTTAAGTGTTCCCGGACTAATGGCATGACCAGGTCAATCCTTTCCCTCATCTGCTTCACGTGCTCGATCACCAAGCGATGGGCTGCCGGCTGTTGTTCCCAGGCCTCCTTCGCCACATCCAGGAGGCCGCAGGGTTGCCGTCCAAAGAGGAGCTCGAAGGGGGTGAAGCCAGTTGAGGCCTGAGGAACTTCGCGGATCCCGAAGGGGGATCATAAAGTCCCAGTCACGTTTGTCCTTCGCGACCACTCGTCTCAACATCTGCTTTAGAGTCTGATTAAAGCGTTCGACCAGTCCGTTGGTCTGGGGATGGTAGACTGTGGTGCTCAACTGCTTCACCCGCAACAGCCTGCAGAGGTCAGCCATTAGCCGGGACATAAAGGGGGTACCCTTATCGGTCAGGATCGCCGCTGGGATGCCGACTCGGCTGGAGAGCAGGAAGAGTTCCTGGGCGATGGCTTTGGCGGTGACTTTTCGGAGGGGAACTGCCTCTGGGTACCGGGTGGCATAGTCGACGATCACCAGGATGTGTTCATGTCCCCGGGCAGACTTAGGCAACGGCCCCACAAGGTCCATCCTG